CTGTGCTGTCCCTCTCTGGCTCTTTCCCTCCTTCTCTGCTCCCTGGCTACCACAATGTGAGCAACTTTCCTCCATGAAACTTCCTCCATGATATTTCTGCCGTGATGCCAACCAACCACAGACTGAAACCTCTGAATCCATGAGTCAAAATACAACTGTCCTCCTTTAGATTGTATATGCCAGATGTTTCGTCCTGGCAATGGAAAGGTGAGTAACACAATATCCATTCCAATTATATATTCAAGGACTTGGAAACAACCGAGCACGTTGTGAACCTGGGACAGGATTTCATGTATTACATAACCCCATGTGCCCTGCTCCAACAGGGAGCCTTGCATCACTGTAGGGTCAACCTTGATCCATCCAACAGTGTCTGAAAGATCTGCTTGTTCCTCCTTCCCCAGTGTACAGTGATCTGACTAAGTCTTGTAGATAGCTTTGGAAGAAGCCTGGAGAATGACCTCTTTATACTCCTGCCATAGTAGTGTCAGTATTTCCCTAGAGGGACACTAAGCAAGATATCAACATTTTCCATCTTGGGCAGCTGATCTGGTCCTTTTGCTTGTCCATTCTTGATCTCTTTGGGGATCAATATTATATATATCACATACAATATTGAACAATATTATATGTATAAACATATATATACATATAAATATAATTTTATTAGCTACTCATCTCTCTTGACCCAAGAAGCACCATTTTCTTATGTTGTCTCTATGGATCTTCACAGTACAAGACTCTCTGGCCACCCTTTCAACCTTTCTGCTCATTAAGATCACCTGCCCCTGATAGCTAAGGGCTTCATCTGGTCTCTGCTATTCAAAGGTCCTTTGTTCCCCTGCTACTTGAGAGCCCTGCCCTGTAAGAGCCTTTCCTCACATCAGCTCTGGCCTGGGAGGAACAGGCTCTACTGAGCAGCTCAGCAGTGCTGGTGCTCCCCTTAAAGCCATTTCTTGCTGCCTGGTTACATGAGTCTCCCTTCTGTCTTGCTGAGGAACAGCTCTGGTAGGGCAGATCCACACAATGTGCTCAGTTCTCTGGGACTTCCTCTCCAGGTTACCTTGGGGACTTCTGGGATCTGTGCTTATTGCCTGAGGACTATCACTTTTTGTAAGCTCCCAAATATCACATTAGAACTGCCCCTTAGGAACACAGAGAAGTTCTTGAAAAGGTTTCTGAGAGTAAAAAAAAAAAAAAAGAAGGTTAGGCACAGAATGAGAATCAGAATAGCATCTGTTATGGCTTGTATCTAGATGTACCTCCAAAGTCTCATGTACTCATAGGTGAGGCTTTTTGGAGGTGGCTGGATCTAGGGGGTGTGATGCTGAGATTAAGGGTGTATGATAACTAAATTGGTTTAGCATAGTTCTGGGTGTAGATAATGGAAGGCTCACCCTGGGTGTGGGTGGGCAGCAACCAATAGGCTTGTGGCCTGGATGGAATATAAAAGGACAGATGGAAGGCAAGCTGTTTGCTTCTTCACTGCCTCCTGCCTGCTCTGCCATGGACTGTTTCTCCTCTGTGATGTCCCCCCGTCATGCCACTCTGCCTTGGAACCAGGGGACTATGGACTAAAACCTCTATAAACTGTGAGCTAAAAAATAAACCTTTCCTCCTTTAACTTGTGGGTGTCAGATACTTTATCCTAACAGTGAGGAAGTAACTAAGACAGCATCAGACTTACCAATGGCCAAATTGAAAGTTAGGAGATTACAGAATTTTATGCTCAGCTAAATTATCAATTGAATGTAAAGACATTTTGCAGACATGTAAGTTCGCAAAATTTTTCTTCCTAGGAACCTCTCCTTAAAGCTACCCAAGTGTATCCTTCACCAAAACAAGGAACTAGACCAAGACAGCAGAAGATGTGGAATTCAGGTAATAGTGTCCAGCCCAAGAAATAGGCAGAGAATTCCCAGATCTTTGTAGCAGGCAAGAGCAAAAACCACCTGGGCTATAGAAGGAGACCAGAAAACTCCCAGAAGAAGGTGCACAGCAGATCCAATTGACGTGCAAGAGAGTTGACCTGATAGAAAACACTTTTGAGAAACATATTATGGAGCCACTGAAAGGCACAGTAAGTCTTAACCTGAGAGTTGGAGAAACTCTAAACACTGCATGATGCTTAAAGGAATGAATCTGAAGATGGTAGAGCATCGATCCAGAGAGCTTGACTTAATGCTACTTCTTTTTTAAATTATTGTATAACTGTGTGTGTGATAGCAGCAGGTATTAGTCTGATAAAAATAGACAAACTCATGATTGGGTCACGACAAACCCAGGAAGACCTGAAACTGTGGGCAGGAGATGTTACTGCCCATACACTGTGACTTCAGCTGGGGGACGGGCCCTGCAGTACACCTTCGGGTTCAACTCTACCACCAAACTCAAGTCTCCGAGGCTCAGCCTCTGTCACTGCCTGTCTGTGACCTGGTGATAGTTTTCCTTTTTGGATTGGAAGGATTTTTCTAGCACATAGCAAGATTCTCCTAAGACTGACCTCCCATAGCCTAACTTTGGTTCCATCTCTGAGTAAAAGATGCTTCCAACCTTCAAGGGCAATTGCTTGTGAGGGTTCTGAAAGCTGGGGAAAGGTCATAAATAATGTTCTTCCTTTAAATAACCCATAAAGCAGGTACCAGCAGTGAGCCTTTTAACATCTCTTTCTGCCTGTTCGGGACTAGCTTACTGGTGGAGTGTGTGAGCTTCTGGAGGAGTCCTCCAAGGCAATGGAGAGGTGAGAGAGAAGCACTCAGAGCCAGATCCTCTGCCAGCCATTCGCTCCAGTGGGGCGATCTCAGCGTGCTGTCCCCGCGCACATGCCAGGCAGTCCTGTTGCTTGTATCCTAGATCCCCGCTACTTGCCCTATCTGGAACATCCCCCTCTCACCCCATCTCTAGATCTAAATGCTTCATCTTCCTCAGCAGATCTTGCAGTCTGGTGAGTCCTGGCTTTAGATTCTGTCAGATCTGGATTTGTCCATATAAGGGGCAAATCTCTTTATCTCTTTAAGCCTCAATTTCCTCCTCTGTCTAGTAGGCATAAATAGCTGCAGTTATGACATCAGGTGACTGTCTTAATTCATATGTGTACTGTGTCCCAGAACTGCTCCATAAATGGCAGCTACTGTCAATCAAATCCTACTTTATAGAGAGGCTGAAAGTGGGAAGCCCCAGGAAGACCATTCCTCCATTTATAGATCGGGAAACTGAAGCCAGAGAGCTGGATGATTTATTCACCACAACAAACCCTTCTACCAGTTCCGCTTCATCTCCGTGGGGAGTCACTGGGCCATATCTCCCTGCAGCATACCTGCTGTGGATCTGAGCATGCTGGTGGACTGCTACAAGCTCATGAGAGATGGGATTAGACACATGTGTCTCTTGCTGAATGGGTTGGAAGTTCCCTGACAGTGCCCTAAAGTTCATGTTAGCTGGATCTCTGCATCTTCCCAAGGTGCTCAGGACACGGCTGGCAAACTAAATTAGAAGGGAATCAACACAGTCTCCCAGTGTCTGAGATAGGAAAGCTATGAAACCTTTCCCAGAGCAGAATCTGGCTTCTCCATTTACTCCAAGTCAAATCTGAGCCAGTGAAAGATACTGCCACCAACTTCTCTGGAATAGCTCACTCCCTCTGAAAGGTCTGCACTCAACACATTGAGATAACAACACAGGTACGCTAGTTTCCTCTTTGTGAACCCAAACGTAGTGGTTCTCCTTTGCTGTTGGTTTGCATATTTATGGAAAACTGTCACCACCATCTCCCATGACTCTTCAAGAAACCACAGAGATGTTATAGTGTTAAATCTGGCAGACATCCATTTTAAAAAACAGCATTAAAGGCCAACACTGTTTGCACAAACTTCCTGTGCAGGGCTAGTATGTGCTCATCTTAAATTAGAAGAAAGAAGCTCAGGAAAACCACACTTCCATATCTGCACAGGGAGACTGCATGAAGTAAGCAAAAGCTCAAAGGAGAACTATGCCAAATACATGGGATCATGAGCAGAAGGCTCAGGCCAGTGCTCAAGGAGGCCCCCTGGCACAGACCTGGTGGAGTCCCAGACCTGGCTTGGACAGTGCATGATCCCATGCACAAACCCAGAGCAGTGTACCTGGTGCTCAGTCACTGTTACAGGATGATGCTTCTGCATGGCCAGTTTTCAGGTGAAGTAAGGGCTTGTCACCTTGGAATCTTCATAGAACTACAGATTGCAGCACTACAGTGCTCTGCTTCCTCATGTATATGACAGAGAGGAAATAGAATGCTTTGGTGCATGGGTGTTGACCGCGTGGGTCTGCATGCAGCTCTTGACTCCAGTATCTAGCACTTGAGAGCTCTTGAGGAGTTTATTTAAACCTCCAGACACCCAGTTTGGTCATCTTTAAGATGGGATGAGCAATGCTACCCACCTCCTAGAATTGTAAGGATTAAAGGAGATGCTAAGGACTGTTGTAGTTTGGATCTAAAGGCCCATGTGTTAAAGGCTTGGTCCCTAGCACATCACTATTGGGCAGTAGTAAAAGGTCTTTGGGTCATTGGAATCTTGCCCTTGAAGGAGACTGTGAGACTCTGATCTCTGTCTTTGCTCCCCAGCCATGAGGTGAGTGGTTAGCCATGTACTGATGCCATGATGTGTTGCTTCACCACAGTTCCAAAAGCATGAGGCCAGTTGACCATGGACTGAAACTTCCAAAACCATGAGCCAGAATAACCCTTTTTCCTTTATTGGTGAATAGCCTTGGGTGTCTGTTAGGTAACAGGAAGCTGATAACACAGGACAGAGCACAGCTCTTTGTACATGGGGAGGATACAGTACCACCCTTGGGGCTGCCCATGACGATGAGGATCACTTCGCAGACACAGAGGAGGGCACCATAGTGGGGCCTGCACTCCAAGAAGTTTCTAGCTGTGGTGGAGGTGATGCTGATTCTCGAAGAGTTCTCCTGTTGTGGACGAGTGAGTGTGGTCAATAGAGATGTGCCACACTCCATGACAGATGCGAGCCCATTTATTATAGCCGGCAGCTGAGGGGGGCTGGCGCCCAGAAAGGTTTATTGGCAATGGGAAGCAGTTTGACGTCTCCTTTTAAATCCTGCTTTCAGTTGGGGAGGGCTCAGGGAAGAGTAAGCGGACTCTTACAGAAGCAGAACCATGCCAGGTTAGTGGGGGGCACAAGGAAATTTCACACACACTAGGGGAGCTACAAAACATCCTGCAAGTGCAGCAGGATGTGGGGGGTTGGGGGTGCTTTGTTCATCTGCAAGAACTTTGTTCAAGCACAGGTCCAAAATGGCGTTGAGGCATACGATGGAATCGGGTTAGCTATCACCCTCCTTCCCAGGGGAGTAACTAGCCTAATCCCAGTCTGCAGAGAATCTGGCAGTGAAGTCCAGGTGACTGCCTCAGTCCAGGGGTCCCCAGCCCCAGGTCCACGGTCTATTAGGAGCTGGGCTGCAATGATCTTTTGTATATTTGCCTTGTGTTCTGCATCCTTGCTGTAGTTCGTAATTAGTTAAGGAGGATTTTTATTATTGTCGTACGTTTATTCTTTCAAATGTTCCATATCATCATGTTATTCATGTATAAAACAGCCATATTTCTTCTTGCCCAATGCCTTTTGTCTCTTTTCTCATATTATTGCATGAGCTAGGACCCCCAGTAGATTGTTGGAAAGGGGTGATGCTGTGCTTTCAGTCTCCAGTGCTGGCAAAAACAAAAGATGAAATTTTTAAAAGTTACACAAAGTGAAAGAAACCACATTAAAAAATCCACATATTCTATGATTCCCTTTGTATGAAATGTCCAGAAAAAGCAAATCTACAGCACCAGAAAATGAATTAGTAATTGCCAAGGGTGAGGGAATTGGGGAAATGGAGAATGAATGTTAATACATAGAATCAGAGTGATGAAGATGTTCTAAACTCGGCTGTAGTGATGCCTCCGCAACTCTGTGGCTATACCAAGACCATCAAATTGTGCACTACATGGAGGTGAATTGTGTGCTGTGTGAATTCTGTCTAACACAGCTGTCGTTAAATAAACGGAATGGTATCATCATCTATTTTTAGAAATAAAATTAGACCAACAATATGAGAACTTTGCAAAAATTCCACAAGACATGTAATGCAGATAGAGTGGAAAATGTGGAGAAATCTGCATTTGCACCCTGTGTCATTCACGGACAGGATTAGGGGTACGGTGACTTTTAAGAGGTTGCAGAGTGCTTTTAGTGAGTTGCTTTTGAAACATCGTACAGTCGACAGTAAGGGAAGAGAGAACACATTCCCCAGTGAGACCTGGGAAGGCAGGGAGGGCACCGCTGGCCGCTTTACTTCTTGGAGCAATGACCTTCGGCTGGCATCCAGGCGCTGCCCTAGCCAGATGGGCCCTCTTCCTCTTTTCTTCCCTTCCTCCTTCCATCCTTACTTCCTTCAGCACGCTATTACCGAGGCCCTGCCACCTGAGCAGGCCCTTGCTGAGCGTGGCTATAGAACAGTCGGACATTCCCAGGAGCACGGCCCCTGTGGAGGGTCCCACGCTCCAGCCACAGGCCCTCGACTCCGCCGTGCTCTGTGCTCTGACTGTGCCGGGGCCCCGGCTGGGCACGCTCTCCCTTCCGCTTCTCGCCTGCCAGTGTCCTGCATGCCCTCCAAAGCAAGGTTTTCATGACCTCTTCCCTGATTGTCCTGATCAAAGTTACTTCTTCCTGCCTCTGATTCCCTTGCTAACTCTGCTTGCACCTTTATCATAACACTTATTTGATTCTGTTTAGTACCATCATTTATTATGCAGATTTCTTTGACCCTCATTACACCTTAAGTAATGAGCTCAGTTTCAATTTCCCAGAACCTAGTACAGTGCCCGGTGTACAGGAGGTGCTCCAAAGATGTTTATTGAATGGTCCTGCTCTTTAACACTTTTTGCATGATTATTAAACATGCCCATTGTTCTTATTCCTATGTTTGCTTTTATAGAGATGGGATAATAAAAATTTCAGAAGGAAATTTCAATTTGTAAAATATTCTGGTACACGAGGAAAATAAATTTCCTTTAGCTTGGCTGACATAAAGGTGTTCGGGAATTTGGGGAAGGTCAGAATTTTTAAATAATTATAACAAAAACAGACCCAAGGTAAATGAAAATATCTTCCAAGAATTTGCTGCAGGAATTGTATACTTAACCAGGAGTCTTATTCTGTGTTTAAACAGTGGGGAAGAGGGTTGGTTTTTCCTTTTAGGAACAAGTCGTTCCATGGTCAGATCGACATGGAATTCTCCCTCCCCCCAACAACCCAGCAGAGCCAGTGCCTGAGCCAGAAAGAGGTCCCTGGGGGCCGTGGTGCACTCCTAACCGCCACCACAGGGGGGCGCTCCTGCCCAGTGCCCACACTCCCCCTCCTGGTAGGAAGGGGAAGTGCAGATATTCTGGACCAGAGCAGAGTCCCCTGGGTGCTTTGGTGAGGGACCCAGAGCAGAGCTGTGCAGCCCTGGGAGGATTCTCGTGGGGAGGAGGGATGTTTACTTTGCCCCAGGCACTGTTCTAGATCTGGAGGCACCGCTGTGAACAAAAGAGCTCAAAATGCCTGTCCTCACTGGGTTGTAAATTCTAATGGGGAGGCACACAAGAAGATGAAACAAACACAAAAACCATTTATATGGGAGAAAGTACTAATGCTATGGAGCAAAACAAAACCAGGAGCAGGGGACAGGGACCTGTGGGGTCCACAGTTTACACAGGGGCACAGTGGAGTCCCCAACTGAGGTCAGCCAGGAACAGGCCGTGCGCACAGGGCTGTGGGCAGCATCCCCAGGACCAGCAAGGAGGGCACGGAGTGGGACAGAGAGCAGACAGGTCAGAGACATAAGAGGACAACTGAGGGCTTTGTGGACAGTCAGGACCTCAGCATGCTGCAGGAGCTTGGGGAGGAGCATCTGTCCACCCATGACTTGCTGAAAGGCTCGCTCTTCCTGCTGTGTTGACAATAAACTATGGAGAGTGGCAAGGGAAAGCTAGGGGCTGCCGGGAGGCCACCGTGGTCACACAGGGAAAAGTAACGGTGGTGGCCCTGCCAGAGGAAGTCCATGCGCACTGTGACCACCTGAGCAGAGAAGTCACCCACACCAGATGGCCATGAGCCCTGCCCAGGCTCCAAGAGCCAGACCATCAGTCAGCTCATGGGGCTTTCTGGGGCCTCATTTTCTTCATCTATGACAAGGGATCAGAGTTCGCACTGTCATGGTGTTGTGAAAATAAATGCCATGAGATAGGAGCACACTGTCAGCATTTCCACTTCTCTCCCTCAGGTACAGATTCCAAAGCCCTGGGCTTCAGAGCCCTTCCCAGCTGCAAGAATCCACGATAGTGACCTCTGGAGGATGCAAGGAACCAACTCATTTGTATTTAACTAAGCAGGGGAAAAGAATCAAACATTCCTTCTGCATTTCCTGCAGGTGGCCAAATATTTGATAAGGGAAAGTTTCTACTTTTAGAAATATGTTGGCTAACTAATAAAGAAGGAATGATAGAAAGGCGTCATTGTGCAAGTCCCTGTGACTTGATAGAGCTAAGCAGTGACTATCAGGGCTGCTAAAATCACAACAGAGAGAACCCCACGATGTGCCGGAAGGACCCCACCAACCTTGTAAAACGCTGAGGCTGAATCTGATCAAACTTCTGCATCTAACTACAGGTTTACAGAGTACACATGGGTCAGAAAGACAAACATGCAGTGAATACAACCAGAGCATGTGGGAGGAAAACCAGGTGAGAACAATTATGGAGCACGAATGGCCAGCACTTCAACAAGGACAACCACGCCACGGGGCAAAGGAGGGAGGGGCCGTGGAGTTGAAGAAACACGAGAGGATGCGTAGATCTCATCTAGATCATGATGCAAACTATAAAATTGAAAATATGTATAAAAATGCCTATACATTTAAGATATGTGCTGATGTCATTTATTACAGTAATTTTTTTATGTATTATGATATTAGGGTTATTTTTAAAGGATCTCTATGTTTGAGACACATTCTGAGACATTTTTAGATGAAGTCACCCTCAATACACTCCCTCTCATTTCAGACACACTTATCTCATTGTTCTTGCCACTTTCTGAAGCAGCTCTGGAAGTCCTCGTTTGTGAGTGTCTTTACGAGGTGTGATAAAAAATACAGTGAAAGTTGCTGCTGAGTGCCATCCACTGAAAAGGCATTCATTGTTGGTGGGAGTGCAGACTGGTGCAACCACTGTGGAAATCAGTATGGAGAGACCTCAAAGAACTAGGACTGGAGGTCCCATTTGACCCAGCTATTCCCCTGCTGGGTATCTTCCCCAAAGAATTAAAAGAATCATACCACAGAGACATATGTGCACTCATGTTTATAGTGGCACAGTTCATAATAGCTAAAGCTTGGAAACAGCTCAAGTACCCATTAACTGGAAGCTGGATAAAGAAGATGTGGTTTTTTTATAAAATGGAGTACTACTCAGCCATAAAGAATGAGAAACTAGAGACGTTTATAGCTAAATGGATACACTTTGAGGCCATACTCTTAAGTGAAATAAATAGGACACACATGAATGAATAGTTTCTCTGGTGTGAGAAACTGCAAGTGTAATTAAGGATACACACGGATGAAATGGCCTAATAACATATTTCTTAGATTGTGTTTCCATCACGTGTCATATGACTGTATCGAAATTTAAATTAGGGAGAGGTTTGGCTTATGTGGAGTCTACTAGCTAACTGGAGTTTTTTCCAGATCATTATTTGTTCAATGTTGGTTTTGGGGATCTTTCTGAAACAAATCACACCCTCTGGTGTCTTGTTGGTACTTGAGATGCTTTTTTAAGTTATGTGGAAAAATGTTTCAGTGCTTTTCAGTTTTGTTTTGGTTGAATTCTTCTGTAATTGAATATTATTGTAGTTTTTTTCCCTTGCATTTTTCTTTGAATAGTTTTAATTTTTGTATGTGTGTGTGTCTGATAATAAAGTTATTTTAAAAAAATACAGTGAAAGCTGCTGCTGAGTGCCATCCACTGGAAGGGTAGCTCGTAAAAACATTACATTCTGTTCTCATTCACCTTGTTCATCAGATGTAGCCCCATGCCACTTTTGGCTCTTTCCCAAAGTCAAATTGCCTTTGTAAATGTTTTGAATTGATCCAGGACTTACAAGCAGCCATGACAAGGCAGCTAAAGACACTCACGAAAGAGCACTTCCAGAGCTGCTTCAGAAAGTACCAAAAACGATGGGATGAGTGTGCTTGAGGTGGGAAGAGCATACTGAGGAGAGTTGATGGCAATGTGTCTTTTACTGAAATAAACTTTTTAAATTTCAACATTCACTGTACTTTTTTATCACACCTCCTATCTCTTGATCTTCATGTTGATTAAATAGAATTTTCAATTTGTGAAAATTTACAAGCTACCTAAGTCCTGTGCATGTTCTCTTCCGTGCTACATATTTTTATGTTCTTACCCAATAAAACTTCACTTAAAAACTTGGCCATGCTTTAGTAATAATGGTTTCAGCTAGGTAAAGGATGCATGAGAGTTTGTCATACAATTATTTCTGTTTGTTTATGCTTTAGATGTCCTCTAATAAACTAAAATTCTTACAGTAAGTAATAAGTAGTAGCAATATAAACTGTGGCTCAAACTTGATAATGAAAAATCAAATACAAAGATAAGCATATCTAACATGGAACACTGTGGGGTAGGACTGTCTCCAGGATTTAGAATGAGCAAAGTGTGTCGCAAGCAGGTCTCTAACAGTCTTTGTGGCACTGCTGGTTTCACAGAGAACCCAGAGTGGCCTGTGGTTTGCTCAGTGGGAGGGCTTCATGGATCCCCAGGGGTGTCCTGTCCTCCCAGGTGCGAGGTCACAGTCCCGAAACAGAGCATGAAGTCCTTCCGGTTCAGTTCTCTTTCCTTCTGCTGTAGACTTGGTCCAACCCTGCCGGATACTCATTTGCCAGTGACTCTGCCCATGCTTCTAGCAGTTCTCCAAGGTCGCTTTCAACACTTGCACACAGTCTCAGCACTCTTGCAAGATTCGGAATTCACTCTGTGGTAGTATGCACACCGCTGGGGACACTCCTGATACTCGCTCCGTCACTACGTGGAAAGGCTGAGCCACCGAACAACGATGGGTGGAGACCAGTTCCGCTTTTTCAATTTTAGACAGAGAGAACAGGCTAACATGGAACACAGTGTAAGATTTGGTCTTCACATAAAAAATAGGAAAGGTGGCTTGGCACTGAGTGGTTTGGCATTAGCAAATGCCTTCCCGCTGGTCACCCTGGGCTTCTCTGAACAGTCTAGCAGCAGAGACTTAGGTAATGAATCCTCCGCTAACAAGGGCTTCGAACTGTAAAGGAGTCACTCTTCCAATAGTATTAGCAAGCAATGAGAAATTTCTTGAAAAATGTTCTTCTGGACACACCCTACTTTCAACTTTTCCATATTTCTCATTAGTGTGTATGGGTTATACAGATTGGTGAGCTTCATTTTGGCAGCTCTGGACATGCATGAAGCACATTGATCATTTCGCCTCCAACTCCTCCTCTGGCCCACAGCCCTCAGTTTCTCACTAGGGCAGTGCTGCGACGTGCATGATGCATTTTGATTATATGCTTTCCCCCATTACCATTGTTGAAGACTCTCAAATAATGCAGAGGACATCGCAAATCCCTTCTTGGACAAGTTAGGAAGGAAGTCCTTGCGGGGCCCAGTAGCTGAAGAAGTTCTCTTCTTCCCTCACCCTCCTGTTGTGACTGCTTCTTTTGATCCTGTTTTCCTACCTCCATCCAGCTCGTCATTTTGCCTCTCCCCAAATGAACCTCAGCATCCTCTTCCTTCTGCTCTGGGGAAGAATTTGACTCAACCCAACTCCCAGCCACAGTCTGTACACCACACCTGTCACACACAGAGACCACAGCTACGGGCCCCATCTCTCCCTGCAGGGGTTTCTTTTGAGTTTGTCCTCTGAGATTATCTGCTACTGCAGCATCAGCTGGTTCTTCCAGAAACAGATGACACGGACAGAAGGCTGGTGAGCCGGATGAGGTGGCACTTGCCTGCGATCCCAGCATTCTGGAAGGCTGGAGAAGGAAGGCCACAAGCTCAGGCCCAGCCTGGGAAAATCAGCAACTTAGTAAGACCCTGTCTCAAAATTTAAAACATAAAAATAAAAAGTGCCTGGGGACATAGCTCAGTGTGAGGGTCCTAAGTTCAATTCCCAGCCTCATAATGAAAGAAAGGAAGAAGGAAGGAAGGAAAGAAGGAAGGAAGGAAGGAAAAGAAAGAATGAAAGAAATGAAGAGAAGGAAAAAGAATGAAAGGCATAGGGACCCTCTGAAATCTCTTCGCCCAGTCCATACGGCTATAAGGAAAGAGCTTAAAGAGCTTAACCCACATTATCTCTGAATGGTAAATCTGAGCATTTTAACTTTTCTTTCCAATTGTCTGTATTGTCTAAATGTGTTACAAGATGAACATCTATTCCACTGAGTATGAAGAGTAACTAACAATGCCAATGACAGCACTTAATGTAAAAATTATATTTTATAGAGAAGGGTGTATACATCTCTAAAAGTAAAGAGGCATGAAAGGCTTTATATTCACTTTGGTTTTCCTCCTTATTAACTATTTGTATGCCCCATTGTTCAATTTTCTCACATCACTTTCGGGAAAACGTTGTTTAACAAGGGTTCTGGTAAGTGTGGCAATTGGTCAAGGGCCAGTTTGTAATCAGCACAGTGCTTGTATAATCAACAGGGTCATAACAATCCAAGAAGGAACTTCCTGCCCTTTACTTAATTAAAGCAACTCCTCTAAAACAATTAAAAAATAAAAAAGCTCTTTCCTGGCCAGTGTTTGCATGAAGACTCGCCCACCTTATGAGACCCGGTAACCCGTAACCCGCTCAGCCGACTTCCGGTTCCGCTGAGCCAGGAGCTCGGTGAGAGGAGGGAGCGATCTCTCCTCCCAGCACCCACCGCTGAGACCAGGACTTGGTCCCCGGAAGTGCTCTCCCAGGGGCACCTGCCACCGGCCTGCTATTCCCCGTCCTCCAGCCTGGGGGGGGGGGGCAGGAGGCGAATTCCAGGTGAGACCCGGTCACCTGGACGCCGCCCAGCAGCGCTGCCCGCCCGCTGCAGCTGAGCACGGCCACCCTCGCCTGTTCCTCCCACTCCCCACACCAGTGACTGTCTACAAATTCGATTCTGGTTTGTTCTGTTCTGCTAGAGCAATTTCTCCCCTTAGCACCTCATCGGGGACCTGCACGCAGATGACGCGTGTCCGATAAACACGAGTGGGAGGCCACAGAGGCTCTGCAGCGTGAACCGAGTCTGCGTGCAAACCCCGCTGACCTCTAGGTGGGAATGAGCCCGGCAGACGGCAGACGGAGCTGAGCTGCGGGAGGGAGTCCCTGCAGGCAGCTGGGCCGACCAGCAGGCCTAGGGTGCAGACTACGGCCGTCCCCACCTGGATGCCCGCAGTCGCGGCACAGGGCGGTGACAAGTGACACGCACCGCACTGATTTCCGGGGACTTGGAGCTGCCTGCGGTGCAAAGACAAACCAGTGACGGAAAGCGAAGCCGCTCACTCGGCACAGGCCCGCTTCGCAGAGGGTGGGCGATGTGCGGACCCGATCTTGATTTTACTTTTACAAAAGGAAACCCACCCCAGCCTAGCTCCGGTGCGCCCCCTGGTCCAGCCCCCTTCGCCCTCCTCTGTCGGGAGACCGAGGCGCAGCTCCGGCCCGGCCCGGCCCCAGGAGGAGGCCGAGCGCGCTCTGGGTGCGCCCGGCCTCCGTGCTGTGCACTGAGTCCCGCTCGCTAAGCCTCGGCCCAACCAGACCCAACAGCACTCCTGCCCCGCACCTTCTCTTCCCGACTCCTACCGGAATCTGCCGTGAACTCAGTCGCTCCTCTTCGGGAAGATTTCCTCACTGGCACAGGCCCGTGCTCTGGGCTGACAGGGCGGAGCACAGGCCCGTCACACCCAGCATTTGGAGCGATGTTGTGTCTGTGTGTTGCTCTTTTGAAGGTAGAATCTCTTTGCACCCCCGTAATTTAGCACAGAGCTAAGAAAATACAAGCTGTCGGTGACTGTTTAGTGACAATGCACGAAGGCTGAAGTTTTCTCCTAGAGTCTCAGGGGCTGGGGGCGTAGCTGGTGGCAGAGAGCATATTTAGCAGCATGAGGCCCTGGGTTCCATCTCTAGCGTCAAAATGGAACAATGTAATAAAATTAAGTAAAGCTTTTCAGTAAAAAAAGATAAATCTTGAGTGAAGGACATATTTTGGTGATGAATGGAAAGGTTCATTGGGAAGCGAGTAGTTTACAGTTAACAGGTTTCTGTAATTGAGTACAACCACTTTGGAAATCAGATGGAGGTTCCTCAGAAAATGAACAGTAAAAATTCCACTTGACCCAGTTATTCACCTTCCAGGTATCTTCCTGAAAGTTAAAGACACCACATTACAGCAATCCATGCACACTCGTGTTTATAGCAGCACAGCTCATAACAGCTAAATCTCAGAAGCAGCCCCTATGTCCATCACCAGATGAATGGATAGAGAAAATGTAGCATTTATACGCAATGGAGTACTACTTTGCCATGAAGAAGATACAGGTAAGATGTTTGTAGGAAAATGGATGCACCTTGAGACCTTAATGTTAAGTGAAATAAATCAGACTCACCAGCTTAAATATCATATGGTTTCTCTTATATGAGAAACCCAAATTATAAAGAAAAAAATAAAAGATAGATAATAGGAAGAGGGGGAGATGGATCTTTCTCAAATGGGAAGGGGTGGAAAAAAGAATTAAGATGTGTTAGTGCATGTATCAACTCCACACAAGGAATGTACACATTATGTACTACAAACATGTACTGACAAAAATAAATATGGAAAGACACTGGAAAAAAGTTGTTTCTGGGAAAGCATAATAACAAAAATTTCTAAAACTAAAATTAAAAAATGAAATGTTTGCCAAAAAAACAAGTTTCTCGATCATGTGATTCGGATTTTTTTTCACATTACCAAGTCCCTGTCATGGAGCACAGTTTGATAGAGATTTCTATACATGATCTCTATAGTTTCAGACACTTATTATGATATCAGGATTGTATATTTCACTCAGGAGAAAATTAAGGAAAATATTAAGAAATCTGAAGAAATTTCTTCTTTCCCCTTTAAGGGATATCTTTAAGAAATTAAAAAGAGGAAACGCTAGGGTGGCATCTGAAGAACTCCAGGAGTGCCCAGGGCAAAGGAAGTTTCACCATTCTGGTATTGCCCCAAGCAGGGGGGAATGCGTGCAGAGCTAAAATGTCAAATTAAAGTAGACGTTGCTGTGAGAGACTTGAAAGAGAGGCAGGGGAAAGGAGAGGGAGAGAAGAGAGGAGAAATAACAGACACAAAAGTAAGGAGTTGCTGGAAAATTATTTCCATTCAGTTTTAAAGAGAAATAATTCCATGAAGTCTTAAGACAGAATATCAGTGCTGCTATGTTGAGTCTTTAGGAATTTGGAGCAGATGGGGGCTTTATTCTGATTCTCTTGCTATTTAATCCTACGATGGCATAAACTGTGGTCTTTTCAACAGTGAGCAGTACCTTTGGTTGTATCAGTTAGAACTAGAAAACTGAAATTCCTTGGTGTAGCACTCAAGGCATCTCAATATTCTACCCTCCTTAGCAGTGTTTCTTACAGTTATCTAGCTGATTTATATTTAATAAATACACTGTATGTGAGACATATCCGTTTAATGTATAATGAATCAAAGATGATAAAAGCTATTTGTTGCTCATGCCCGGGTGGGCATCCTGGTCCCCAGGTTGGAGAGGCTCCAAGTCCCCCAGGCGGTGGCCCCACCCCTGCCACCCCCGACGTCTGCCTGCCCGGAAGCAGCGCTTCCGCCTGGCACTGCTGCTCAGAGCTCTCCGGGCCACTGAGGGCCACTGAGTAGTGAGGGCCTCCTCACTACTTCGTTGCAGTCACCCGTCGCTTCCTGCACAGCTGAGGTTCAAATCCTCTTCTCCAGCCGAGGAGCGCCTGCTCTTCGAAGCTGGGCAGCTGAGACTTCCCCTGGGACACCTCCCCATCCCCGGGAAGTTGCCCACTTTGTGCTTGATGGCCCGAAGCACAGTGAGTCCTGGCTTTTCTTGTGGGTTTCTCAGGCTGGCTAACGAAGCACAGCCCAAGCCTCTGAGTGACAGGTACAGGTGTGGCTCTCAAGTCCCACGGGCCACGCCCCACAGCATCCCCCCCCCAGGCTCGGGGAGGGTCCGAGGCCCACTGTGGGGCAGTGCTGAAGGGCCCTGGACGGGGCTGAGCACCCTCAGCCCGCACTCTTTCTTCCTGTTATTTCCCGTGGGGTGCTGAGGTGCTTCCATGTGCTGGAAGCCTGGTCCGTGCGTGGCGCAGAGCTGTGGGCCTTAGTGAAGGGTTAGGGCAGGAGAGGGTAGGCCCGGGCCAAGGAGCCAGCGGTGAGGCCCCGGGAGCGCAGTGACCCCAAAGCAAGGCCGCCGCTGGCTGGGTCCCTCAGCGGGGCCGCTGCCCTTCTGTGCTGTGAGGCCGAGGAGGTCATCTCAGCGAGCATTCCAGAATTCCTTCTCAGCGATGCCAAGGCTGAGACATTACTTTCCAACCATATTCACACAGCTTTCAATAAACTTTCATGTTTAACATTTGCAAAGATACGCCAAGGCCATCTCAGAAGGAAGTAACAGCCGAGTAGCAACAGAGCTAGAGGACGACATGGGAGCACAGCACGCAAAGGATGAAAATGTTCAGACCTTCTGCGGACCTTTAAACCACAAACTCGGTAAGAAGTGCTTTTCAAGGGTTAGATCCTTGCTCCAAACTGAGATCTTGGCCTCCGCACTGCACTCCGGGCTGGCATGGACTTGAATGTTACCAGGCCGGGTCCCTGGCCGGCCTCAGCATGGCACACACTGGGTCCGGGGCCAGGGAAGGCTGCTGAGGTCCTGCGTTCCGCTGACGGTGCTCTGGCTGTGCTGCCCAGGCTCCCGGCCCTGAGGATCAGACCCGAGCCCAGCTCTGGACTCCTTCCCAAGAACCATCACTTCCACCCACCCAGACACGGGACCGCACTGAGCCACAGGTCTGGGTTCTGGCAGGGCCTCACTGCCAGACCAGAGCGAGCACTGAGGTGCTTCGCACAGTAGAGGGGCGGGTGAGTTTCCAGGCGCCCAGGCTGGAAAAGGCAGCCCCCACCTGCCTGGCTCATCCCGACCTGCTCCTAGCAGCAGCACACCTGTTTCCTGCCCTTCTGAGTGGGCCACAGATTCAGAAATGAGCAGAAGCCCATGCAGCGTGTAAGGAGCCGAGTGGCCTTGCACAAAGCCTCCACATAGGCGCTTCAGGACAGAAAGTGTGCGAAGTCACCCAAAAGAGGCCAAGCAAACACAGTCCCCAGTGGGAGGGACAGCCAGTTTCACTCTGACTCCTGCTGAAAGAGGGAAACGCCAATGGAGGCACAGGTGCAACTGCTGGAGATTTGGAGTTGGGGGGAAAGATGTTGCACCTGAAACTCTGAGTGTTATCTGCAGTTCATCATTTCAAAACGCACCAGGGTGGGGCTGAAAGGGGCAGCTGCTGAGGCTCTTCAGGTCAGAAAGGGCAGTGCGAAGGGCTGACTAATGGCTCTCAGCGTTCTGACCCCTCCAACACCAAGGAGTCTACAGATTGCAAAAGGACAGCACAGGAAAATGTCAGTCCGGTGACTGCAGACCAGGTCAAAGGCCACGGCTCACCTACAGCTGCATGGAGGAGCATCCTCGCTGGCTTCCCACAGTGTGGTGACTCACGGCTTTCAGAGGGCACTGGCACTCCTGAAGCCAACAGAGCGCTGTCTTAGTCATCAGGCTAAGCCTGGAAGTCAGTGTCACACAACCCACGGTGACTCGGAAGAAACCGAGAAATGTGGAGCTGCTAGGGCTGACAGAGCTCTGCTTTCTGCCCAGTGCTGTTTGCCCAGCTGGCAGCAGGCACCTCCGACTCGTGACTTCATGCACAGATTAAGCAACAGGCAAACGAGGCCATCCAGAGGGTAGTGGTGCCGCCCAGACTGACTGCACAGCCCGGTGTGGTAATCCAGCACGCACACCTCCACCGCAGGCAGGGGGGGAAACATGGGTCTCCTTTGAGGTCGGCTTGAACTGGTCCTTGGCTTGCTCTGTGTCTAAAGGACAGTGAGCAGGGCTCAAAATGTCGTGCAAGTCACTGCTGAAAGCTGTGACAATGTTTAGTCCAGGGACGAGAGGAGGCAGGTGGGACAGGTGAGTCACCGTGATATACAAAGCGCTGTCACACAAAGTAGAATTAGACTTCACTCCGAGGAGAGAGAAGGGACCAACGTGAAGTGCTGAAAACAGACTTTCTCTCCAAATTTTCTAGTAGTTAAACAGCTGTAGTTTGGGTGTTAAAGGTCCCCAAAGGGCTGAGCACAGTGGTGCATTCTTCGATCCTAATGCTCTAGGATGCTGAGGCAGGAGGATTGTAAATTTAAACTCAGCCTGGGCAAGTTAGCTACTTACAGAGACCCTGTCTTAAAATAAAAAATTTAAAAAGGGCCATGAATGTGGATCAGGGCAAAATCCCTGGGTTCAATCCCCAGTCTCACACACACACACACACACACACACACACACACACACACACACACGTGTGCACGCGTTTCCCCATGGTCCATGTTTGGGCGCTGAGTTTGCAGGAAGGTGCCAGGAACCCTGGACCAGGGCCTGGAGAGAGGTCTTTGGGCCACAGGAGATGAAGGAGTGTGGTCCACTGGCCACTCCCTCTATCCCCCAGCCTGGAGGTGAGCAGTTCTGCTACACCGTGTGCTCCCTGCCACGATTCGCAGCCGTATCTCAGGCCAGAGGACTGAGGCCAGCTCATCATGGGCTGGAACCTGCAACGCTGGAGCCACAAGAAACCTTTGCTCTGTACAGTTGGGTTGTCTTGGGTCCCCGCTGTGGGGGCAGACAGCTGTTGACCCACCAAGCTTTCTGAGGCTGAGGCTGCTGCCGGAAGGGTAGAACATGACTGTTGGTTGTGACGTGAGTTCTGGTAGATGCCAATGCGTGTCATAATGACTGGAAGCTGCCTGTGCCTGCTAGCCAGGTGCCAAGCTGCCAACGAAGGCCCTCAGACATTCTGCAGAATCCTCGGGGCAAGCCTGGGCTTGCTCATCACTACTGCACTGCAGGGGAGGCTTGTGGATG